TTGGTCATATCAGTGCGATGGTCTTTATACAGATAGCAAACTAGCGTTTAAATTTAACCAAATTCCAACTCTTATCACAGTTCATCAGAGCTACAGAAAGTGACTGGGCTGTTCACGCAAAAATCCCCCACAGATGCAGGGCCATCCCCGCACCAAGTTGTCGGCGAAATGGAATCAGTTAATGCGAAACCAGTTCAATGCATACTGAAAGCAACCACGTAGGATTTTCTTTTCAGCAAGTTCTATTCAGCCTCTTGAAGTTTGTCATCGCTATGATAATATCTAGGCGGATAGGTTTGACGTAGAATATGATAACGGATTTGAAATAAGATAGTATCAGATAATATTTGTGACTAACGAGTAGGCTGGATAAGATAACAAAATAGTGTAAAGTGGACATAAGCGACGATTATTCGTAGTGGAATTAGTGAAGGGAAGATAAATCGAAAATTCCACCCTAAGACTTAGAACATCGAATTCGAACATATGATGCGTCCATCCTCTACACCTAGCTATTATTGCAATAATGACAAATCATATTTAACAGTTGTAAGGACTTGAACAGAATGTCATGAAGGGGATGCTCATCCTTCAAACCGACTTTCATTTCATGACATAGAAGTACTTAAGACTCTCAGGCCGGAAAGCGCACTCCTTGAATAAGACGTGCTTCTTCCTCTCTAACCGGAAATATCCAATTTTGTGAATTATTCGTTTGGGAAACCTGATCTTCCTACCCGGCGAATTTTATTCAACCATTTCTTCCTCACCGAGCCTGTGTGTGGTACTTCCCGCTGTCTCGAACTACTGCCAAAGCTTCAGGTGCTACTTCTGTAGCAACATCCTCCTCACTCTTTCAAATATACAGGACTTGTGGGTCTGTTACGTGATTGCTGTGAAACCGAATAACCCGAAAGTTACAGGTAAAGTCAAAAGCTTTTACTTAAATACTTTATCCTTCTTTTCTGTGCTCTCTATTGTCTTTTGCTGTAAGTCTATTGGACAAAATAACAGTCTCTTATTATTTAATCACCAGTATTAATTTAGGAGTAAAATGACAATAGATTCTCAACCTAAAATAAGTAATGGGACATCATACTCTGTAGTTACCAGGGCTTCAGCCAAACTAGGCAAACAGGTGAAGGTGATGGACTCACGCATACCGGTCTTGAAGACCAGGGCTAATATTCCCAGCTCGTACAGATTACCCATGTCGCCACAGTCCTACAGTGAAGCTGTGCAAAGTCAGCCAAGTGGATGTGGCTCCACCCCTGTTAACACGACTAGGTTAACAGATCCGAGTGGGAAAATTGCACTAAGTGAGAACTTCATAACACCCATCCCCATGGTAGACCATGAAACAAATAGGAAGGCCAAAAAGAAACGTTCACGACGTCGCAAGACGACAAGAACGCTCCCCAAGAAGACAGACGACTGCAAGGTCTGCGCTTCTGTTGTCGAACAAGCAGACTCTGCTTTCGAATGTAACTTTTGCAAGAGATGGGTGCATTGCAGATGCGACAGTGGGGTACCAAAAGCATATTATGACTTTATGCGTAAAAACCCATGCCAATGGTTCTGGTACATATGCCCGAGTTGCCGTCCTGATGTAGCCTCGCGTAGTCCTTTGAAAACTAAAGATGGCACAGAAGTAGCGGGGAAAAAGGTGAAATGCTCGACCCCCACCAATCCGGAAGTTAGTACAAACGCGCGTAAACCGGGGATACCAAAATCCTCACCGGTTAAACTTGTAACTCTTGCCATAACCGCTCCAGACACAGAGGCTGGAGAACCACGGGTTTCCGTCGTTGGAAAAAGACCCCAACCGTCTGCCAGTAATGCTGGCCATAGCACTGAGACACACAAAAATACCCAGTCGCACCAGTCAAACCAAAACGGTCTTAAAGGTGATCACAAACGTGCGAGGACCGAGCCCAAGCCCACGGTTAGCAGATCAAATTGTGTAATCCTCTTTAATGTACCAGACTGTAGCAGTAGTCTGCTGAAAGATAGGGCCCTATTTGATCAGGAACAGTGGTCCATCTTGTGTAGCACACTGGGTTTGGACATCCAACCAGTAAATCTATGCAGATTGTATAGGGGCACTGCTGCACCTGAAGGCAAACCATCCCCACTGAGGGTAACATTGGGCTCTACCGAGGATGTTGAAAAAGTGTTACTGGCTTCTCAAGTCCTTTCTATAGGGAGGGCCTGTAACATACGTGTTAAGCCAGACAGGCCGTGGAAGGAAAGACAAATGGCGAGGGAGTCGCCAGAGCTCATTCCTTCTGCCTCCATGGTTGTGCATGGCATTCCCGAACTGGTAACTGGGAACGCCTGCGAAAAGCATTGTCATGATGTACAACAATGGAGATGGTTGGCATCCCAGATGGCCCTGGGAAGTTCAGGGGCTGTCTCTATTTATAGACTGCCTCGACCCACTCATCTTATGTCAATTAACTCGCCACGTCTGTTAGCTGTCAAGTTCAGCTCCCAAGACCAGTTGACTACCGCTCTCCATAGATGGTACGAGACCAAGGACAAGGTCAGCAAACACATTCGCTGCTGCGAGAGCCGGCCTCGCACTCAAAGGAGAGAACAAAGCGTAGTAAAAAAAATCCTCAACCCCTAGTCACACTACAGCGGTGCAGCACGGACGATGATAGCCAGTGTCATCCGAGTGCTCCAACTGAACTAGAAGAAAAAAACGCCAACAGGCCGGTTCCTGGGGAATCGGCCAACTAGTTCGTAGGATAACTCCTCAACCGATAGCCAATATCAAGTCAACTACCCCCCAATACGGGGAAGTGGTGAGACTGACTACCAGTTGCCTGTACAGTAATGTGAGAGGGCTAAGAGGCAAAATAGCTGAACTTAGACACCTACAATCACAACTGAACTCCAAAATCATAATACTGACGGAAACCTGGCTAACCCCTACGGTGGCAGACAGCGAAGTCAGTATAAATGATATGGTCCTAGTCAGGCGAGATAGGGACCTGAAAGAAGGAGGTGGAGTCGCCATATACGTCGACAAACAGCTCAGATGTGTTCACGCGATGGACCCTCCCCTCACAGAGCTCCCTGACTCCATATGGTGCCACTTCACCGTTGGGTACTGCAAATATCTAGTGGGCAGCATTTATCGATCACCTTCATGTGGAGCAGACCACAACCAGGTACTGCTAAATACAATCTCAGCAACTCAAGACATGGGTTATGATCAAATTGTCATAGCTGGTGACTTCAATGCCCCATCTCTTAACTTGGTGTCGGGAAAAGCCCATGATAGATTTGATCGAAATCTGCTGCATACCATCAGGAAGGCTGGATTCACTGAAAATGTCAAGATGGATACTAGATGGGGCCCTGATGGGAAGTCTTCTAGACTGGATTACGTGCTCACTAGTGACCAGCTACTAGTGGAAAACGTTCAGATCACGACTCCCATAGGTAGTAGTGACCACGCGGTCATAGTATTCGACATAGTCCTCCGCGAGCGCTTACAGTGGGACAATACACAGCCCTATCTGTGTTATAACAAAGCCAACTACACCAAAATGCGAAGACTTCTGTCTGAAGCAAATGGCCTAAAAAATGGACAGAGCTAACAGTAGAAGAACACTGGAGAGTGGTAAAGGAGATCATTCACCAGGCGGTCTCAGACACTGTTCCTTTAGTCACACCAAAAGCTAGGAAGCAACGATCATGGCCTTCTGCAGGCGAAGCGAAAAGCCTGGTTTGCGTGGCGACGATCGAAGAGTCAACCCGAATGAAGTGTACCTTGAACTCAGGAATCGATGTAACATACGAGTCCGGAGCGATAGAAGGACATTTCAGGGAGACCTCGCCAATAAGCTTCTCGTGAACCCCAAAAGCCTATACAGGTTTATGTCCGAAAGAAAACCGACCAACCAGGGAGCATGCAATCTAGTGGGTTCTGATGGGAAATCTCTTACTAGTCTTGAAATGGCAGAGACATTCAGCCTAGCCTTTCACAGGCAACTAAACAGTAACGAGGATATTACCCCTACAGAACATCCAGATTACATCGCAAAACCAACACGCGAAAACCTGCTGGGTACATTTCAAATTACCCCGGCTATGGTACTTGCAAAATTGGGAAGGTTGGCTTCGGGAAAGTCTTCAGGTTGTGATGACATCAGACCATCTGTCCTGAAGCAGTGTTCAGAAAGTCTCTGCCTCCGCAACAAATCATATGAGGAACGACTAAAGAAATTAGGTCTTTTCACACTTAGTTACCGTAGGCACAGGGGAGACCTCATCACCGTCTACCAGATCTTAAATGACCAGGCCCACCCAAATAAAAGCATCCTGCCATTAAGTGACTATAGGCTTCCACGAGGTAACCCGCTAAGGATAGCACACCAGAGACCAAAGACTCGAGTGCGATCACATTTCTTTTCGCTTCGCGTTTGCCGTCTCTGGAACGCTTTACCGGCGGCCGTGACTACAGCGCCATCTCTGGAGATTTTTAAGCGGAAGCTAGACAATCATACAGAAATGCAAGGTTTGTGTCTCAATGGCTTATCCTCATAAAACTTACAACCACACTATCAATGGATAAGCGTACAAACTAAATCCCCACGACCTATTCTGCCTTCTCTCACTCTATCTTTTCCTTAGGTCACCTTTATTATTCCACTTATCTCAACCTATATTATCTACACTACAACCTATTATTAATATTATTATTATTACTATTCTGCTTTCATGACTACACCGAATGACCAACGGGAGTTAGGTCAAACTCCATTCACAGCAGCAATACAGCCCTAACATACTGCATACTACAAACCACATCGTGACCAATCCCCGCACCACTCCTCTTGGAGTCTACCAGAGCTAAAGCAGTCGAGTGGCGGGACTTACTACGCAGAAGCTCACCGAAGATCTGGAGCCTCTACCTCACAATCAAGAAGCGAGCTCAAAGAAATCACTGGTTTATATTAGCTCGTAATCAGGATATTGGATATTGAGTACTGAAGATAGAAGCGCGTCCGATGAATTGGGCGTTACAGAATGCGTCGTTTCGGGTCGATATTGGTTCCACGCATACGGCTAACAGATGTAGTGTGTAGACATGTCATATCCAGTCCTTCTGATAATTCCTCAAAAAAATTTCTGCCTTTGGAAATCCGAGGACTGACAAATCAGAAGTCTAACGATGACAAAACAACAGTTTCTAATGAAGTAAGTATATAATGTGCCATTTAACAGTATCAGAAACCTATAACATTGTATGGGAGGTTCCGTGAGAATACAGACTGGACTAATGTGTGGCCAGCCGCTGCTACCTTCCATCATGCTGTTGTCCCTTTTCCTGTTCGTCAAGGACATTGTAAAGTGAGTTAATCATATGTTACTTTCCATTGTAATCTATGCAGAATTTGGCAGAAAATGGCGGGATTCCACCTGAGAAGTATGCTAACGCGGAATTAATGAAAATCCCTAATTTTCTGCATCTTACTGCGCCTCATATTAGGAAACACTGCGATGCCTTAAAGAGTAATATGCATATAATACTAAACTTTCCGAAGAGTTTTGTACGGTATGGCCGTTGGGACTAAACTGTGATGAGACGATTGAAAAACATTATCCGGTTGAAATAATTAACCGTAGTTACGTGTTTACTTCGTCGAATATACGTGATCCTCGTTCTCGTGTAGTGACTCTCCAAGTGAGTGCATTTATTATTTTTTACAAGTTATTGATTTATAGACAGTTACTTCTAACATATAGACAGTATCAAGTAGTAGTAATGGTTAAAACTTTGAACTAAACGTATTTATGTCAAAATGATGATATCACATTTCAGTAATGTTTTCTGCATACTTCACTATATTCGTTGTATTAAGGATATTTTTTTCCTTCACGTTTCCAGTGGAACATAGGGCTTTAAGCTAGTGGCTTGAAGTTTCTGTAGCAGTGTTTATTTTTACAGGATGAGGTTGCTAGCCTCATGCCTAACCTATCCTCTTTACCAGCATTATTTCTGGCTTAGCGAGGTAAAGGATATTTTACTTGGTAGGCATTTTTCAAAGTCTCGTTGTATATTATTATTTATTATATCCTTTAGTTCCTAGAGGAACATAGGGTTTCAGCTGTGCACCTCCATTGCCTTCTGTTTTCTGCCAACTGTTTCACCCCGCTCCAGGTCTGTCCACATGCCTTCATCTCCTCCTCACATGACCTCCTACAAGTCACCCTCGCAGTGACGACCAACTCGCCGCTTCCCATTTGGTCGGGTTCCACTCGACCAATGGCTTGTCTAGTGATGTCACTTGATGGCTTCCTCAGAGTATGGCCAACCAATCCATCTCCATTTCTTCCTGCCTATTTGTTTCACAATCGGCTCCTGCTGTGTTGGTTCGCTCCCAGAGATCCCTGTTGCTGATCTTTTATGGCCATCTGATCTTGAGTACTGAGTGAAGACAACTGTTGATGAAGGTCTGAAGTTTGTTAGAGATGCTCTTTATGAGGCGCAGTGCAAGTCTCTGATCCGTATAGTGAGTAGCACTGACTGACTTCACATTGGAGTTGAAAATCCGGATCTTATTTTGATCCTGAGTGCTGTTGACTTTCACACAGACTTGAGAGTAATGAAAGCTTGCCTTGCTTTTCCGATTCTTGCTTTGATATCCTCGTCAGTTCCGCCTGTAGTTGAAACGATGCTTCCCAGATCGGTAGGTAAAGGAGGCTGTTTCTTTCAGGTTCCTCCTATTTATGCTGATTGTTGTTTGTCGTTGTTGTTGTTGCTGTTGGTGTTGGCCAGGAATCTTCATCACCTCTTTTTTATCTATGTTCACTTAAAGTCCTATCTTCTCAGGATGCTTCTTCTGCCAACTTGTTGCTTTTCATCACTTGCATATCTTCCAGTTTGTGGGAAATCAGACATATCATCGGCGAAGTCCAGATCCTCCAAGTTTGTCTTTGTGTGAGTCCATTTTATGCCTGTTTCCTCATCTCCCGTTGTCTGTCTCATTATCCAATCTACTGCAATCAGGAAAATCATTGGCGATAGTAGACAGCCTTACCTCATTCCCGTCCTCACTTCGAAGGCTTTCGTAAGTTTCCCATTGTGGATTACTTGGCATGCGGCATTGAAAGTGATAAATACCAGTTATATTTAAGCCATTGTGAATGATTTTGATTACGCCACATAATTTCTATTTCTATTGATGTTTATTTATTACTGGATTTCGTTTCAGATACGCTTATCCAGCCTGTCTCTGGATGAACACGCTAAGCGAAAGTTCTTACGTCTTGCAATAGGTCCTGGTCCAGGTCGTAATATAGCATCATATGATTGGAATACAGATATTTTAAAATTAACTACAGGAAGGTGTCCAACATCAAAGCAGAATACTGACTTTTTAACATACGTTTTAACAGTTCTTACCTTGGAATCGAAAGTAGGTATTATAAATTTACTGTTTGTATATATATATATATACATTTGATTGTAGGTGTAAGTTATTTAATTTACTATGAATGAAGGAGATACTTATAGAGCTTTTGAATAATTGTTTCATTTTTGTAAATTTTTATGGTAAGGTAAACTGAAAAAAGAATCTAGAGAGCACTTTCGTTTTGGTTTGCTTCTTGAACAATTGCCAGCAGCAATATGAGTGCCAACTAGCACGAAACCTAGGTCCAAGGCTTTCTGCCGATCTCCTCCATCCATCTAATATTATTAAGACTAACGAAATCTCAGCACAGACACAGAAGGCTCGTTTTGCATACACCAGCTTACGCCATCTCTGGCGTAGACGTGATATCCGGCCGACTGTCGACTGAAGGGCGCGTGTTTACTGCTCAGCAGTCTGCTCTGTCCTCCTTTATAGCTGTGAGGTATAGTCATTGGAAAGTGGAAGATATGAAAAGGCTGGCTAGCTGTTTTTGATCATAGGTGTCTGCGTCCTATCTTCCATATTAGGTGGTATAATAGGGTGAGTAATATTGAGGTGAGGCATCGGTCGAGTGCTAGGTAAGAGGAGAAAGTCAATTGACGAGGTTGTGAAGTTCTGTCGATTGAGAAGGTTAGGACATATGCTACGCATACCTAGCCATCGATCGCCTTCCTCGAGTCAGGTAGGGAGATGCAGACTCCCGGGTTGGGGTCCTCGGGACTCTAGGAATCAGTGGCTGGAGACAATAGGTGACATGGCTCAAAATCGTTGTCAATGGCTAGCGCAGATGTATTCAGTCTCTGTAATCTTTCATATTCCTTTCTACCATTACCCATTCTGTTTCACTCTTATACTTGTCAGACTGTATTGATTCTCTTTACTCATCTTCTTGTCTACCTCTGTGTGCTATTTGGAAGGTGGCAACTCGAACTGGTGCACTTCGGTGCCAAGTTCTATGTTGAATCCAGACAGACAGACCTTCCTCGACGGGCAGTTTAGCTGACGAAGGAAGGGTCAGGTTGTAAAAGAGCCACTGGTGGTTAAACCAAAACATGGCTTCATCAGTTGATAAAATCCACAACAGTTGGTTTAAGCCAACCAGTCACGTCGGGGGGTATAGACTGCTGTCTGGTTGAGGTCCTCGGGATGGTAAAAAACCAGTGACTGGAGACAATTGGTAACTGGCGCCGATGCATTCACCCTTTGCGATTTATCATATCCAATCAAACTGCATTGTTCTTCCATATTACTATTCTTTTTGCCTTACACTTTTGTTTATTATCTCTCTTTTGAAATTCTACTCTGGTTTGCGCTCTGTGTGCTACATGGGGAGTGGCAACTGGAACTGCTGGACATCTATCCAAATTAGTTCTGCGTTGGAACTAGTCAATCAGTCAGAGTAGACAAATCTTATGTTTCATAGGTCATAAATTAGTGTTTTGCAACAGAGGAGAATAGATGGCAATGTCCAGCGGGCTGTCTTTCTTAGAGAATGGATATCCAAAGAATTTTTTGGAAAGCTTGCTATAGAGAAAAGTCGATAAATGCATCCCTTTCAGCGACAGGTTAAAGAGAGGTACTTCTTGGTATTTATTGTAGTCCATATATTAATACACGATTGGGCATACAAGGAAATACAGTCGTTGCGAAGAGGATTTTCTTCACTGAAATCTTTGTCTTATGTTTCAATGAAGATAATTAATCTAATTGTTATCGGGTGATTTTGCCCTTCACCTCTACTTGAGCTATATCTTTTTCCAATAATGGAGCTGTCACCGCCACATTTCCGCCATGCCTTTGTAGTAGAATTAATTGTTTCAAGAAATGTGCTTTCCCATCTATCTATAAATATATATGCTACAGCTGGGGGTAATAGTGGCCTCATTGTTAATCCATATATTTGTTTATATATTTCGTTATTACATTTGAATACTGTAGAGGTAAGATATAATTCCCAAAGTGACGTCATCAGTGGGTAGTTTTGTCCTGCCAGATCGATAGGTGCTACCTGGACGTGGTGGTTGGTCTTGTATATCTGAACGATCCAACAAGCTACATTAAATTGAACTAATATTCCTGTATGTCCTGCCATGTCAGAAATTTTGTTTGGGTAGCAGTTACACTAAAAGCAGTTACCACCACAGTAGTGTAACTAGTTTTTTTCCTTCACGCCCCCAGTGGAACGTAGGGCCGCATAGTCGGCGACCATACCACGTTGAAAGCATCGGTTCTCGTCCGATCACCGAAGTTAAGTCTAAATAGTTTACGTTATGTTAAAGGTGTGCGGGCGGATTCATACTGATGACGAATAGGGGTGTGTGACAGCCGTATTTGTGTTTCCCCCTTAGATAGACAGCAAGCCAGATATACTTCCGCTCGGTTTTGGTGGTGGTGTTTAGCCGACCAGAAGATCCTAATACGAACACAGCTTCAAAAGTTATTTCAGATGGGCTATGAAAGATCCTGTCTGTCTGTTTACGACATGTGCAGCAGTTCCAGTCGCCACACTACACTTAGCACATAAGGCAAGAGAAGAAAGTGAAAAGAAATGCAAAAGACATTAAACAGAGATATGGGACAAAAAGAATAGTAATATGGAAGAACAAGGAGTGGATGCATCTGCGCCATTGAGAACGATGAGTTTGAGCCATATCATCAATTGTCTCCAACCTTCATTGGTTTTTACCGACCCGAGGACCCCAACCAGTCTACACCTTCCCACGTGGTTTAAACTAACTGTTGTGGATTTCGTTGACTGATGAAGCTATGTTTTGGTTTGACCACCACTGGCTCTTTTCTAACGTGATCGATACTGTGTTGGCTAACATTGTCTGTCGAGGAAGGCGATGGCTGGGCATATATAACACATGTCCTAACCATCTCAGTCGATTTAGCTTCATAGCTTCCTTACCTAGCACTCGACTGATGCCTAACCTCAATATTGCTCACCTTATTATACCACTTTACACGGGAGATAGAATGCAGGCACCTATGATCAAAGACAGCTAATCTTTTCATATCATCCACTCTCAATGGCTATGTCTCACTCACAGCCATAAAGGAGGATGGATCAGACTGCTGAGCAATACACTCGCCATTTGGTCGACAGCCAGCCGGATATCACGTCTACGCCAGAGATGGCATAAACCAGCATATGCGAAACTGGCCCTCTGTGCTGGGATTTTGTCAGAGATCAACCCGTTGGTATTGGCTGATGCAGTCAACGTGCTCTACCACTTCACTCTATTTCTAAGCTAGGAGTCAGTGTAGTCCACTTTAAGCAGTCATCACTTGGACTAAACGATCACGCATTACCAATGATCCTTCTGTCGCATATACTCCACCAAGAGACCAACTTTCACACTGTGAGCAGTAGCGCAGTAATAATTAGCCACATATTTCCGTAGGCACATATTCAGTTTTATTCTGTGTGTGAGTTTTGGACACACAATGAGTTCTTTTGTAATTGTTTTGAGAGCTATATTGGTCAGTTTTGTTGATCTAACTAGCATTCAGACTAATATATACACTTTCGTTAACTGTATACTCACTGCTTCATGTAGTGTCACTGAAGATGGTATATTCTACGCTTGGTAAAAATTGTCTTACGAATTCAGGCATTCCGGTAGATTTCCCAATTCTATCAGTACTTATTTCATAGTCGAATGAGTTTATTATTATGTAGGAATTGTAACTTTTGACTGTATAAACTTAGTGATATTTTGCCAAGGAAAGAAAGTTGGTTAATTGTAACAAAATTTATAATGAGGAGAATCCTGCATACGTATAACACTAAAATTCAAATGGATTATTCAGGTTATGTAGCTTCACATGAAGATGTTAAAAGTGCTTGGAAACACTAATTCTCAACAGGTTTTGAGACTTCTGTGTCACACCACACTTAGGTAGGTTAAATGAAGTTGTTGGTTCCTATGACCCTTGCAAAATTGATGATAGTGGGGATATAGAAATCAAGTCTAAAGTTAAGCGTCTTGGATTAATTCTTTCTGCTGACCTGTCCTAGTCTTCCCATGTCTTAGCGACTTCTAAAACAATATTTCGTCTGACTTATCACGTTAAGAAGTTAAGGCACTCAGGCATAACTCAACCCACCCCTTCTCTTACAGTTTGTCGACTCGTGCATCTTACCTATTCTTCTTTACTGTGCACCCTTATTCTTTCCAGGATTGCCTAAAAAGAAGACTATTTCATATACTTCGTAGAACTCTGAAGACTGTCAGTAGGGCGAGTGGTATCCTAAGCCACTGGGCCATATCGTTGACATTGTCACTAATATGCACCTGATGTCCTGCAACAAATTTGCTAAAGGAATTTTGTCAGACTCTGAGTGCGCACTCTACTCGCCGTTCCAACCTTGTGTCTCCTTAGGTAAAACAAGAAGTCTTTTCAAAAGACTTTATGCACGCACATGTCTAAGTATAAAAATTCCACTATACCATATTTTGGCGGAGCGTACTTTATGTGATGAAAATAGTGTTAGGCATGAACTGATTAACCTTCTTTGCACTGCCAAATAAACCATTTCCTCCACCCTTACAACATCAACCTTTATTGTTAATGTACTTCTCATATTTATAGTCCTCTCACGTTTTTATTTTTATTTATTTTTTCATAAGTGTGAACATCATTTAAGCTGTGTTATAACTGTCAATTTTGAGTTTCCCCTCACCATACTGTTATATCAACAGAACATTAGATTCAATGATCTATAACATGCTAAAATTTCCAAATTGAATCGCCAATACCGTTTGAAACAAACTCGCTGTTATCATTATTATATTTAATATCCTCAATTCGTACTTCGAATATTTTTGACTTTATATCGTAAACGTGGACAAATTCCTCTGGTTAATTTTGTTTTAATTTTATTTATATTTTGAGTAAATGAGATGCTGGATATTGTGACAAATGCTGAGAATTCCATTCTGTACTATAAGTACTGTTTTTGGAATAAAGCAGATTATTATTATTATTATTACACTTTACATAACTAAGGAGAACTGCTGGTTACTTCGTGGTTTGATGCTTTATTCCAGTGTAGTCGTACAATGGCCAGCGTAACACACATCAAAGTAGATGGCAGGTGTAGGCAGTCATGACACGGGTAACTCAGCCATCCAAGTCTACTGTTGAAGATACATAACTCATCAATTAGTCCACATCGCTTACGTAGAAATATATGTTCACAATCACAATGTAAAGCTAATGTTTTCACGGACATGGGGATCATTGAGAGAAACAATCTCAAGTGTGTACATATGTATAAGCGATATATTGATGACACCTTCATTATTTGTGATGAAAATTTTTCAACTGCCGAGGAGCTTCTTGGAAAATTTAATGGTTCTTACTCATCTACGCTTTTCACTATCGGAGAAGAGTCGAACTCCGCATTTCACTTCTTAGATGTGATGCTACTACATAGAAGAGGGATGGCACGTTAAAAGGTCGATTGATCAGAAACCAAAATATTTACAGGTCAATACACTAACTGCAACAGTTAGATACCTACCTCTAGGCAGGAAGAGAAATCTTATTCGTTCTCTGTGCTCCAGAATTAGGAAAATTTGCCCTGTAGATACGATCGACTTATAATTAGAAAGTTTTTGTACAACTCTCTTAAATAATCGATATCCTGGAAGTTTTTTCGTCAGAAACATCAAGAAAGAAACCGTCCTTAACCAAATCACAGTGCCGAAGAAGACACTGTTTATGAGTTTGGCTTTCAAAAGTGACAGTATTTCTGAAGTAATTAGAAGTCGTTTATCTAGGTGTATTTATTAAACGGTATTTTTATGCAGCTGACACTTACATGTAGTATTTACCAGCCGAAGTACGATTTAACAATGCGTCAAGGATAAACTACCGCTTGTGTCCACCTCTATGTGCATATACTCATTCACATGCTCGTGTGGAGCTGATTACATTGGACGTTGTCAGAGTAATATCCGTAAACACGAAACTGAACACTATCCGGTTTGGTTAATGAAAGGACGACAAAGTCTTCAATCTAATTGGTGGATGGTGATTAGCAGTGAAATCCAGGATGCGCATTTCGTCCTATTTGGGACTCGTCCATCAGCTGGATGTGCCTGCATTCCCCAGTGAGTGAGGATGTTCCCAATGAGGCTCAAACCAAGTGCCCATAGTTTCAAACGTCAATTAAATAATTAATATGACCCGTTGCACAGGAGGTAGCTCTCGTGGATAACGCTTTGGTATTTGAAACTATGGGCACTGGGTTCGAGCCTCGGTGGGAACATCATCACTCACTGGGGAATGCAGGCACATCCAGCTGATGGACGAGTCCCAAATAGGACGAAATGCGTATTACCCTGGATTCCACTGCCGCAAGTCACAATCCACCAATTAAATTCTAATTACATGGACAGACATCGTCGAAGCATCTGCACAAGACGGCGACGAACATGTCAGCCTGAGGCCGAGCACTTCGGTCCAATCGGTAGTCGACGGGAAAAATCTAAAATTCAACTAGATAAAGTCTTCAATCTGTGGACACCTTTTGGAGTCAGGTCATTCAGCCCCCACGGGATTTATCCTTTAAAGTTATCTACAGGACCAAATCCAATCATTCCAATAGCTTACGTTTTTTCTCCACTCATGCATAGCTAGCCGAAGCTGTAGCTATACATGGACAAAAACCTAAATTAATGTATTCAAAAACGTTTTGTCAAACCCCCCTTGCTTTACCTTGCTCATAGCAATGTTCCTTATTTATTTTATTCTATTTTTTACTACTTGAATTCATTCCACTCCACTTCACTTTCGGCGTCTTTATTGTTGTCATCACCATCGTACTCTTAATTTTTCAAACAACGCTTAACATAAAATTTTAAAATCTTTATACCAGTTCACGTATTTAATAATCTTTATTCAGGACATCTTTCTTTTATTCCTTCACGTTCCCAGTGGAATATAGGGCACCTTCAAGCTAGAGCTATGAAGTTTCGGTAGCAGTGGTATTCACTTTTACGCGATGGGATTGCTAGCCCCATGCCCTACCTTCCCTCTTTACCAGTCTTATTACTACTGGCTTAGCGAGGTTAAAGGAGTGCGCGTCATCGGCTGGGGGGTCGAACCCCAAGCCATTTGAGGCGTGGTTGGCGAGCTTGCTAACCGCTGTGCCACCGACGCACATTCTGGACATTTATATAAATTATATTAATTACGGTGGAATTTTACTAAAATATATTTTTTATTGTTATTTCGGCCTCCCCCTCCCCCCCCAAAAAAAATCTTATCAAAATATTATAGAAAATAGAAAAATGGGAAACTGACAATCCGGAATATGATTGGCCACAATTCGATTGGAATAGAAGTGAATCACGAAGACGCCTTTTCAGCCTATTGTCAACTTCTAACAGTGAAACCGAGGAGGGTAATAAAGAAACCGATAAAGAGAAGTCGGTGGTTCAAGTAAGTGCCGAATTATTGTCATTATTATTATTATTGTTATTATTATTATTATTATTATTATTATTATTCGTATTATTACTAAAAACACAAACTTGGTACATTATGGGCTCCAAGGGATACGCCACACAAAAACTCATAGTTTGTGTGAGATCTGGGGTACTGACACCCAGACATCCAGATGGAATCAAGTCGTTGTCTCATCGGACCTTTGACTTGAATTCTCATGCGTGAGGCAGACGAGCTACACTCTTATGGTTGCTGGCGACCAAAACATTTTCGCACACCATTCGATCCTTTCAAATCTAGAACCCATATACACCGTAGATTCGGAATCAGGGTTTTCCAGCTCTCCGGAGTAGACCAGCATGTCCAGGTGTTTGCATTCGTCAAATCACTTTTGTGGGGAAGACCTTTGTCGCCGTGTGAAAGCTAGTGAATGGGATTTACCTGGAGGAGAAGGAAGATCGAAGTCTCTTCACTCTCTGTCGTACTGTGTTGAAAGCTGGCTGCATGCCAAAAATTGTAGACAGCAGTTTACGTCAACGTTACGTCCCGAATCGGGGTCATGAGAGAAACAATGACAAAGCTTAACCTTGAGGAACTCACCAACCACTCATAGCAGACTTAACGTTTGCAAGTAGGATTTACAGATATATGGCTTAACTTTCTGAGGAACGGTCACAAGTGCAGTACATAATAACCTTCAGCAAGAAAACAACCAATCAGAAGACGATGCTTCTCTTTTGACAATAATGTAGATTTCTTATCTTATTCGGGTCAACTAATCTAGATTTTTCTGCTAGATTTTTATGCTCGGCTAGTCTGACTGACTGCCCCTGTTCTACTAGTTTGGCCGATGTATTTGACCTGACAATCATTGGAGGCAGGGTATTAGATAAACTAAACTGTTTTGTTATAAAGGTTCCACAGGATTGACCCTTTAACCGACAAAGCTTGTTTTTAATTGAGTTTGTGGAGGGTTTGAATACCAGTCACTTTTATTCTTGCCCTGTTAAGAATTCTGCGTAAGGTGGTTTCCGAGGTTCCTTCCTTGTATGGAATTACTACTGATGATTTAGATTCCTTATTGTTGGTGTCGTCATTAATATTACTATTATCATTATTATTATCAACACTATCGCGACTATCATTATTTATTTTATTTTTACATTTCCTTACATATTTCCTGACTAATTTATCGGGGTTATTATTAAGTTTCAAGGCTTCTTTTATGTGTATCACTTCCTTTCTTAGATTTTCCTTGGCACTACTTAGTTTTTGTGCTCTATTACTTAGACATTTCACCAATCCTATTTTTACTGACATAGAATGGGTGGGATGATCACATGCTTCTGTGCACTAAATGATTGAAGGTAACTTTTAATATTCTTTTCTCTTACAGCTTGAATCTCATCCAACAATTGTTCAGTATAGAGAAGCACTTAAAACGATATGGGCTAAAAATGATATCCTCAATGGTGACCAGTGGGTTAAACGACGTGATCCACCCAGATGTCGACATGGTCGTTTACGTCCAATACGTGATGTTCCCTTTATCACAATTCCAGGTGCAGATGATCAAAGCACACTTGAGAAATATGCTTCAGCTACACGAAATCTATTTGGTCTAAAGGAGGGGGTTGTTGGATCAGGGCAATCAAATGTACAGCAGACAAGCAGAGCATAAGGACTTCCCCCGCCCTGCTGTTTATCTCATTATTGATTAGGTTCCTTATATAATTTATAATAAAAGTATACTTTATCCTTGTTAATGATTGTTTCCTATTATTTTGATAATGAGTACAGGGATGTAGCTCATGGGGTCAAAGCACTTAATTTTGAGCTGGTGGTCCCCGGGTTCGAACGCCTCCCTGCCAAGATCAGTCTAAGCAGCTGAGTTATTATCTCCTCCACAGGTTGCCCAAATCACACTTAATCAGTTGACGACCGGTGCATGTTAGTATGGTATGTTCAGGAGCCTGTACGTACACTCACTCTTGCAGATGAGAACCGCCTTAAGTTGTCGAAAAGTTCGAATATCTTGATAGTTGTATTATTGCTAGCGGAGTGTGTGACGGATGAAATTTATAACCAATTAGTGAAATCTAGGGTGGTATGGTTGTCATAGGTCGGGTTTGCAGAGCTTCTGTGTGTGTGCAGTCTTGTTTTACCCTGGTGAAGACTTGGCCTCTCCATGGTGAGGATGTGCAGCAACTCTGCACATCCTGGAGCTTGACGCAAAAAGCAGAAAGGTGGTCAGTCTATGTATGATATAGCGCCTTGGGATGAAAGATATCTATGTTAGGTTAGGATTCGTTGGGAAATCACCACTCCCTGGGTGGGTGGAGTATGGGAGATAGTTTAAATCGGTGACTCGAGACGTTGTCAGATATGACCAAGAATCGCCATCATTGGCGAGCTTACTGCAATTTCCTCCTTTCTTCTCTTTGCGAAAGTAACATGAAGTAATGCATGATGAATGAATTTGACAATTAAGCTCAATTTCCTTCCGGATAAGTGTGGCGAGAACTGGATGCCAGGCAAAAATTGGTAGACAGTAATCTACGTCAATTTTTACGTCCCCAATATTGGTCATGAGAAAATAACAGGAACAAAGACTGACTCAACAACCAATCACAGTAGACTTTGCGTAGGCGGATACAATTTGTAGATAGATAATCTGAACTTCAAGAAACGACCACAAAGAGGAGATGAAAGATTAACGTTCAGTGAGAAACAACCAATCGGAAGACTGTGTTTGTTTCCTTAAAATAATGTATAGTAATGTACATGAAAATCTATAAATATGTGTTGATTCCCTAAATAAACGATCTGTTGACTGGCCCTTGTCTTCTGTTGTTACATAAGTAGTAATATATCATCACCCCCTCATACACCAAGTGTTATCTCTGCAAGACCTAAAGTCAAGTTGGAGTTTTTGAAGGGTGAATGTATGCACGGTACTGTAGATAGTTTCGGTATATATTGCTGTGGTTCTTCAACCACTATTTCTTAACCACCTTCAGTAGATCCCATCAAGGTTACTTTCATCTGCATCTACAATACATTTGATCAGGATTAGGAGAATTCATGAATTGGTTCTACCTTTTTAACTTGGTTAATACTTTTTGTCAGAACATTAGTGATTGAAGCAATTCTTCATTTGCAGAAGGACAATGATTCCTTCAAAAGTACACAGTTGGCGATTATTCATTCCTTTTGTCGTTATGTAAAAATGAGCCTATCAGAAAGGCGTATTATTATTATTGTTCCTTTGGGTTCCTAGTGGAACATAGGGCTTCAACTGCACGTCTCCACTTGTTTCTATCTTCTTCTGTACTTTTCACCTGCATCCATGTTAGTCCATTCTGTTTCAACTCCTCTTCACACGATCTCCTCCATGTCACCCCTGGACATCCCACTCGCCGCTTCCCTTTCGGCTTCCACTCAAGCAATGGCCTGACGCGCGATGTCACCCAGCGGCCTCCTCAGCGAGTGTCCAATCCATCTCCACTTTCTCCTGCATATTTGTTGGTTGGCGATTGGTTCATGTTTTATTTGTTCCCATAGTTTCTTGTTGGTGATTCTTTCCGATCCGGCCATCTGATCTTCAGTATATATCCAGCGAAGACAGTTGTTGGTTGGTAAAGGTCTGTAACAGGCTGTTGGAAATATTCTTTGTGACCCGCCCGCCAAGTTTCTGATCCGCATAGAAGAACTGTCTTGGCGTTTATATTGAAAATCCGAGCGAATTTTGTTGTTGATGTTGGCTGAGTGACGAAGATTTCCAGATTGTTTTCAGTCAGGTTGGTGAATGTGTTTCTTGCCCACCACCCGATTCTCGCTCGATTTGACATCCTCGTCGGTTCCTACTGTAGTTGAGACAATGCTCCCTAGATAAGTGAATGAAGTAACCTCTTTGAACTTCCCCCCGTTGATGGGGATTGGCGCTGGATGTTGTTGTTGTTCTATGTTCACTTGGAGTCCTGTCTTTGCTGCTTCTTCGATCAGTTTGTCGGTTATCCGCTAGTAAGTCTTCGATTTTGTGTGACATCAAACATAAATCATCCACGGGCGAAATCCAGGTCTTCTAGGTTCTTCACTTCAGTCGGTCCAGGATATTCCTGTCTTCTCGTTTCCCACTGTCTGACGCGTATACAATCAAAAAATTTGACTTGATTTAGCAATTGGATCGGTTATTAGGGAAGATTACAAGTTTTTGTTTAGACTTGAGCAGTAACCGGCATCAGTTAGAAAGTCACTGAAAATTTAGGGGCACTGGACATCTGTCTCGTCGTCCTGCTTTGGGACCTCTCTGCAGTATGCATGTATGAGACGCATAGCCTTCAAGTTATGGGACTAACTGTTCGTGACGAAATTGAAATTCGTAGTACCCTAGAATTTAAGGGTTACGAATATTGTGTGTGTCGGTGACACACAAAAAAATGCACTTAATTCGTACGTAGCAATGCTTATTTGTGAATGATCATCTTTTTTCTCTGTAGGTGGTTTATTTTATGAATTTGTATGAAGTATTTATCAAGGCTCATCATTCCTCGAATCTGTACCGCATAGTTTTAGCCTGGTACATGATGAATCTATCCTGAGTAGCTGCTTGCATAGCAGTCCAATTTGTTAAAGGGTGAATATGTCTCCATCTCAATTAATGTTCTTTCGCCATGTTAATTTGATTTTGCAACCATTGCTCAGAATCTCGAACATCCTATATAGGTCTCATACATCTACCTACATTATTATTTATCATTATTATTATTATCTCTTTTAGTTCCTAGAGGAACATAGGGCTTCAGCTACACGTCTCCATTGCGTTCGGTCCTCTGCCAACGTTTTCACCTGGCTCCAGGTCTTCCCACATGCTTTCATCTCCTCTTCACATGACCTCCGCCTCCATGTCCCACTCACACTGACGACCAATTCACCGCTTCCCATTCGGGTCTCACTAGAGAAAGAGACAGCTTGGCGTGTGATGTCACTCGTTTGATGGTTTGTTTTCTCAGAGTATGGCCAGTCAATCCACCTCCATTTCCTACTGCACATTTGTTGCACAATTGGTTCCTACTGGGTTGTTTCACTCATTACCAGAGGTACCTGTTATTGATCGTTTTTGGCCGGCTATCTGATCTTCAGTAGTATTGAGCGAAGATAGCTCTTGATGAAGGTGTGTGGTTTGTTCGAAGTGCCCTTCGCGACACATCAAGTCTCTGATCTGTATAGTAGCACTGACTGACTTCACATCGGAGTTGAAAATCCGGATCTTATTTTTCATGCTAATTGTTGAGTGCTGATCTCCATACAGACTTGAGAGTGATGAAAGCTGGCCCTGCTTTCCCGATCCTCGCTGCTTTGATATCCTCATCACTTCCGTCCGCCTGTAGTTGAGACGAAGCATCCAAGGTAGGTAGGTAGGTAAAGTAGGTTGCTTCTTTCAGATTTCTTCCATTTATACTGATTGTTGTCTGTTGTTGTTACTGTTGCTGTTGGCCAGGAATCTTCATCTCTTCTGTTTTTTCTTTATGGACACTTGAAGGCCTTTGTCCTCTGTTTCTTTCTTCTACCAACTTGCTGCTTTTCATCATTTGCATATCTTCCAGTTTGTGTGAAATCAGACATATATCATCGGCGAAATTCAGATCCTCTAAGTTTTTTTTTGTAGGTCCATTTATTGCCCGTTCTCTTCTCTACCTACTGTCTGTCTCATTATCCAGTCTACTTCAATCAGGAAAATTATTGAAAATAGTAGGAAACCAGCTTGTCTTACTGTCGTTTTCATTTCGAAGGATTCCGTGAATTTCCTGTTGTGGATTACTTGGCATGCAGGATTGTCAAACAACTGTTGAATGAGGTGCATAATTGTTGGCATCAAACTGTAGTAGCGAAGTAGATGCCAAATAACTTCTTGATCGACACTGTCGAAGGCCTTTTCAATGTCGATGAAATTGAAGTAGAAAGAGTTGACTGCCATCCAAAGCTGTGTTCAATGATTATCCGTAGTGTGTTGCGATTTGATTGATGCATGACTTTTTCCCCTGAATCCAGCCTGTTGCAGTCGAAGTTTTTCATCCACGGCATGTTTGATTCTCTCCAATGCATTGGTTGGATTAATAGTAAGAGAATTCATGAATTGGTCCCAAGTTTTCGTCTGGTGGGTACTTTTTATCAGTCTAATTTTCATCATGTTGACACTCCAATTTTAGAAATACCAGAAACTTGAGATACACAGTCGATTTTGATCCAGGTATCGTTATTTGAATGGTTCAATTAAAGCAGCTTGGTGATTGAGTAGTAGAATGCTCACCAACCACACACAACACGTAGTCTGGGTTCGATTCCGGTAAAAGGCGAAGCTGGACTTGAGGCTATCAACCCCATTTCGCAAATATTACCAACTCTACGAAAACTTCAAAGTTTCATTTTGAAACCCTAGGTCAATTACCTGGACAACTGGGTAGTATCATTAGACACATCCTACGATAAATGTGGCTCTAAGCCTCGTCCGTGAAGAATCTATTCCGGATAATGGAGCTTAAATAACTAACTATAAACGTTGTTAGGGAAGTTTCTTAACTTGCATGCAGATTCCATCACGATCCAACGTCAGTTGGACAGTGTCAAATGTCAAGGTGACTGCTGCAAACTAAATGACTTTTTATCAGAAATCCCTCCAAAATGTCAAACAGTCAATTTCACCTTTATGCATAAATCTGACCTAAACAAACTGGTTAACACTCACACGAGGTGTGCAATATAGGTA